GGGTATCTTCAGTGGCTTGTGAGGTGTTCTTGGGAGTATTTTATAACAAAGAGGCATTTATCTACAGTAGCTCTTGGGGCACTCAGCAAATATTTGCTGGGTTGAGGGGACAAAGCTACAGGAGAAGACAGACACTGATTTCTTTACCAGACTTTATTATGGGCTTTAGCTTCCTTTATCTGATTCTATAACCAGCAGTGACATTATTCTTTCAAGAAACTTTTAGAGCACTGTATTAGTTGTCTGTGGCTGCTGTAATATATTGCTTCATTTGGAGGCTTAAAACAACAGAAATTTATTTATTCTCTCACAATTCTGAAGTCAGAAATCAAAGTGTCAGCCAGGCTGCACACCTTCCAGCATCTCTAGGGAACAATCTGTTCTTTGCTTCTTTCCTAGCTTCTCGTGGTTGCATGTGTTCTTAGCTTGTAGCTCTATCTCTCTAAACTCTGCCCCCATGGTCACATTGCCTCCTCCTCTCCTGTATGTGTCTGTCTCATCTCCCACTGCCTCTTTATTATAATTTCATTTAAGGTCCACCCAGATAAGCAAGGATAAGTTCCTTCTCTGAAGATTTTTAATTTACATATTTTGCCATATGAGGTAATAGAAATTCGAAGGGATTAGGATATGGACATATTTGGGGGCCACCATTCAGCTTACTACAGGCACTTACTCTGCCATGCTCTTATTTCGTCAATTGAAAAAAGCACCAAGCCTGAAGCCAGAAATTCTGGATGTTTGGTCAGCTTGGTCATTAACTGTATGACTCTGTGAAAGGTGTCTAAACTCTGAGTATAATTTCTTCATCTGTCAAATGGAACCATCAGAACCTGTCCTGATGCTTCACAGAACTGTGGTTAGACTCAAATGAGACTAGTTATAAAAGTGCTTTAAGGGGGAGCTCTTCTACCGCCACTGGCTCTGTCTACACCTCAAGCATGCTGCCCTACACCTCCTTGTTCGAGGGCGTTGCAAGGCCATGCACATGCTGCTGGCTGACCAGGGCCAGAGCTGGAAGGAGGAGGTGGTGACCAAGGAGACCTGGCTGCAGGGCCCTCTCAAGGCCTCCTGTCTGTACCGGCAGCTCCCCAAGTTCCATGATGGAGACCTCACCCTGGACCAGTATAGTGCCATCCTGCGCTGCTTGGGCCTCTCCCTCAGGTTGTATGGGAAAGACCAGTGGGAGGCAGCCCTGATGAAGTGGCAAATGACGGCGTGGAGGACCTCTGCTGCAAAACGACCACCCTCATCTACAACAACTATGGGCAAGGAGGACTATGTGAAGGAGCTGCCGGGGCGCCTGAAACCTTTGGAGACCCTGCTGCCCCAGGACCAGGGGGCCAGGCCTTCATCGTAGGCAATCAGGTCTCCTTTGCTGACTGCAACCTGCTGGACCTGATGCTGAATCACCAGGTTCTGGCTCCTGGCTACCTGGACTTCCCTCTCCCTGCTCTCAGCTTGCGTGGCTTGCCTCTGTGCCTGGCCCAAGCTCAAGGCCTTCCTGACCTCCTCCGAGCATGTGAACCTGCCCAACAATGGCAACGAGAAACAGTGAGCACTTGTGGCACCCACAGCAGGAGGTGGGGGCTGCCTGCCAGCCAACCAACCCTTCCCCAATACCAATAAAGTTCCTGAGAAAGAGGGGGAAAAAAGTGCTTTAAGAGTGTCAGCCACTCTACTGGTGTAAAAGATAACTTCTGATGGTAAGTTTGATAACGATATGAATGAGAAAAATACAGAAATACACAATCACACATTAAGGTTGAGGGGAAAGAAACAAGGTCCAAAATTGCATAAGGGCATCAAAAAAGAAGCTGAAAAGAACTATTCATTTGGTTATTTCTGGATGGTGGGATTATTAACATTTTCTTTGTACCTATGTTCCCAATGCTTTACAATAAGCACATAATACTTGAATGAGTCTTACCTCCCAGGGTTGTTGAGGTAACATATGCCAAGTATTTCACACAATATTTTGTGAATTTTAAAAAATTCTCAATAGGCAGATTAATCTGATGTTTTTAGAATAAGAAAATGCAAATATCTGAAGGTTTAACAAAGCACACAATTTGTTATTCTATCATGACCCCAAATATATAAACATAAGATAGAATTAGAAGTATTGAATAATTGTTATAGTCAATTTAGGACATTTCTAAGGTAATATCGAAAGGTTCCATCTCTAGTCATTTCTTATTCAATATACTCATTTTGTATCAGTATACTTTATCAAATTCACAGACACCATTAAAGGGTGAAATAAAGAACACTTGGAAAGACAAAGTATGGTTCAAAAAAATATCAACAGGATAGAATAATGCACTCCCACAACTGAGAACTAGACTAGGAAATACCCCATTCCCACTGCAAAGCATCTGGACCTGATGCTCTCTGGTAGTGCCAAGGGATCTTGAAACCTCACAGAAAATGGCAGAGAACCATCAGTTCCAATCCAGAAGTGGAGTTTCTACAACTTCAGAATGAGAGGATAAGACTTCAATTGTCATATCTCAAGGGCAACACTGTATTGGTAACCTTGTTTCTAACTTAGAATCCATATGGTTGAATCTTACAGGGTCCTTGGCCATGAATAGTGACAAAATTAGAAAATGACATGCCAGCAAAACAATTTCAACAAACCCAATAATAAAAATGAAGAAATAAGCCACACCAATTCCTGAACATGTTCCTACTGCTCCACCACTTGAGGAGCTTCAACCACAATGCAAGTGTCCCTTTAAGAAAAGATTATTGATTAATAAAAAGAAAAAAATTCACTAATTTCAAAGAACCTTCATAAAGGTTCCTTCCCTCTAGATTTAATTTTAGGAGAAAAAAGACTGCAACCAAAAGCTTGCAATCATTTAAATAGAGCACATTTAAAGTATACCCAGATGATCCTCAAAAATATTATATGAAATGAAAAGCCAGTCATGAAAGGACAAATATTATGTTATTCAACTTATGAGGTACCTATAATAGCCAAATTCATAGAAAAAGAAAGAATGGTAGTTGCGAAGGGCTGGGGGGCGGGGGAGGGGAAATGGGGATTTATCGTTTAACGGAAACAGAGTTTGAGAAGATGAAAAAGTTCTGGAGCCAGATAGTAGTGATGGTTGAACAACAGCGTGAATGTACTTAATGCCACTGAATTGTACACTTAAAGATGGCTAAAATGGTTAATTTTATGTTGTATATATCTTACAATTTTTTTTTTAAAAAAAAGGAAACTGGAAAACAAAGAAGTATACCCAACTTAACAGAATTAGCGTGTGACTCAGTGATTCCACTCATAGCTATATACTCCCCAAAATTAAAAATAAGTACTCAAATATTTGTACATAAATGCTAGTATCCGCACCATTCACAACAGCCAAAAGGTGGAAACTCAAATGTCGATTCGGTGGATAAACAGATAAACAAAATATGTTTTATCTTTACAATGGAATATTATTGTCATAAAAGGAATGAAGTACTGATACATGCTACAATATGGATGAACCTCTAAAACATGTGAAGTGAAAGAAGCCAGATACAAAAAGCTCACATATTATATGATTCCATATCCAGAACAGGCAAATCCAGACAGAGATAGGAAAAAGATTAGTTGCCAGGGTTTATGGGGAGGGAGACTAGGTAGCTACTGCTTAATGGGTATGGGGCTTTCTTTTGGAGACATAAAAATGTTTGGAACTAGAGATGGCTGCTGTACAATTTGTGAATACATGAAATACCACCAAATTGTATACTTTAAAATGATTAGTTTTATGTGATTTTTACTTCAATTAAAAAAAAAAGCATTTCTTCCAAATCTAAAAATAGGCAGAGGACTTGAACAGACACTTCTCCCTAGAGGACACACAAATGGCCAACAAATATATGAATAGATGCTCAACATCGCTAGCTATTAGGGAAATACAAATCAGAACCACAATGAGATACCATCTCATACCTGTTAGAAGTTAGAATAGCTATAATCAACAGAACAAGTAACAACAAATGTTGGAGAGGATGCGGAGAAAAAAGGAACCCTCATACACTACTGGTGGGACTGCAAATTTCCATCCACTATGGAAAACAGTATGGCGGTTCCTTAAAAACTAAGAATTGATCTACCATATGATCCAGCAATCTCTCTACCAAGTATTTACCTCAACGACTTGAAAACTCATATCCAAAGATATCTGCATATCGATGTTCATAGCAGCATTATTCACAGTGGCCAGGACATGGAAGCAACCGAAGCGTCCTATGACAGATGACTAGCTAAAGAAGCTGTGGTACATATATACAATGGACTATTACTCAGCCATAAGAAGAGATGAGATACTGCCATTTGTGACAACATCTCAAGGATGGAATTTGAGATAATCACGCCAAGAGAAATAAGCCAGAGAAAGGTGATAACCACATGATATCGCTTCCATGAGGGATAAAAACCTAAGAGCGACAAATGAACATGACAAATAGTCAAGAGACTCATGAACATGGACAACAGACTAGTAGTTACCAGAGGGTAGGGTAGGGGGTGGTAGATGAGGTAAAAGGGATCAAATATGTGGTGACAAAGAAATCTAACTATGGGAGGTGAACACGCAGTGTAAATATATACATGCCTTACTGTTAAAGTGTACAGCTGAAACTTATTGGATTTTGTTAACCAATGTCGCCATAAAATTTAAAAAAAAAAAAAAAAAGGCATTCCTAACCAGTAGTACACGAGATATAGAAAATGAATTTTCAAATCAAAAAGTTTCCCCTGATCCCAAATAATATACAACCATTATCCACATATGTTGTTTAGACACCATCTACTTAGATGACAGCCTTAATTGCAGTCTCCATTTCTTCCAGAATTTGACATGCTTACATCATACTAAAGAGGGAAACTTTCACCATACTTTGATTCTTGGCCTCTATTTGGCCCTTTAAAATTTAACTTTCACATCATGCGAGCCTTACCTTCTTTTCTGAGGATGGTCTAATTGCTGGGGCCCTTAAATACAAACCCATTCTTTGGGTAGAGTCCTGGCCTGGTCATTTGTGTGTACAAGTCCATCCTCGGTTGCATACTAAAATGCAAGTTAAAACAAACAGGATCAAAAGATGGACAAACTGTCACTATGGATGGTTAGTATTTCAACTGACTAGATCTACCAATAGAATTATAGGACAATTAGAGCGTAAGAAACAAGTTAACACTGGTACGATCCATGTACATTAACTGTTAATCCCAAGTGTTCATTTCTTACCTAACATGTCTAAGTACTATAAAAGTCCCTTCCAGGAGGGGAGTTAAATTGAAAATGTGGATAGAAAAAGAACACCATAACACAATAAATACCACCAAACATTTCAGATCTTGTTAACAGAGTTTCCATGATACCATAGGCATGACTAGATATCAAATATCTGAGCACCAACTATTTGCAAAGTATTGTAAAATAAGCCCATTATGTCCAAACAACTGTGAACTTTAAATGCATTAGATGTATTTGTAATATTGATCTCAGTAGGACAGCAAGTGAAAATCTTAGCAGTGAAAGCAGAAACAAAAACTAGCATTTACTGAAAATGCAAAAATCATTGACAGCAAAAGGTAGTGCAAAGAGTAAAAAAATGAAAGGAATTATATAAGTATTCTTGAGAATCCATTTCAAAATAATAGACCCATCAACTAAAATACAGATACAGGTTTATTTTCATTACCAGAATGACATTCTCATTACCAAGTATTTTAATGGTAGTTTGTCTTCATAAATTCCATCCTCATTCTATTAATCTCACTTATCAAAATGGGCCTAACTCAGGTACCTTAACTTTATAAGACTGCAAATTTGCTAGCAGAACCCGTGTCCTGCATCTTGCTTAAGCCATTAACATTCTTCCTTTTGTGTAAATTCTGCCCTTTCCAGCTTTATACTCTCACTCCACTCCACCCTACATGATGTATTTAAAGATAACATGTGTAGAGAATGACATATGCCATTATTACATCTATATACATATATATTTAGAGACAGAAAAGTATCAAGGTTTCCAGTCACTCAACCAATTGATACCAAGGAATTGCTTAATATAAGTAAATTATATATTTATATAAAATGAATCATAAATAACCAGAAATCAAATGAAAATCTCCCATCAAATCAGCAACAGCAATACATACACAGTAGGTAAAGATCAACACAGATTACACTTAAGAGAACACAGTTTTTTAAAAAAGTCATCCACTGATTTGGTCTTGTGACAAAGTGGTGTCTATAAAAGATCTGGAATCCCATAGCTATTGGCTAGTACCAAAATAAAAGATCTGGAATCCCATAGCTATTGGCTAGTACCAAAATAAAAGATCTGGAATCCCATAGCTATTGGCTAGTACCAAAATAATTGAGAACAGGAGAAAATAGGAAGGCATGGACTCTCAGAGACAGTGTAAAATATGAGCTTTTATGTAAGAGAGACATGAAATTGAGTTAGATACAACAGATTTTGAATGCATGCATTGTTACTATCTTACAGCTCAAACTACTGAAGAAGGCATTGGACAAATCTGATATACTGAATTGGAGGTTCCTACATAAGCCTAATTCGTTGATTCAGTTCATAAATTCCAACCACTTCAGAAATGAAGGCCAAATGCCTTGAGATGAAATCATTTTGTACAATCTTTGTATTTCTGATACCAGATAATTCTATTCTAACCTTGAATGATTCCCTAGGAGCTACTCGAAGATAAACTGCTGCAGACTGAAGTTACTGTATTTCAATTATGAAGCATGTCAATCTTTTAGCCATAAATCTAGAAAACTACTATTATTTGTTTGTGGTAGAATACCTACAAAGGCCAGTCATGGCACTCTATAGTAAGAGCAATTTTGTTTAATCTCATAACCTACTTATATATATGACTGCTTAATTCTATTCAGTGTGAATATAAAAGCTGATGAGTCAAAATAAATAAGAAATTAATTTAGTCAACCACTAAAACCTGAAACTTCGCTTGTACATTCTAGAATTGGAAAACAATGGGGGAAAATACGAAACTCTTCTCATGTTTTCTCCATGAGATTAAGCAACCTTTTCAATGGCCTTTGGTAAATTCTCTATTCCTTTCATAATCTAATAAATTGGATATGAAGTTTGGAAAGTAACTATTTTTTAAATCTCTGCAAGGGCTTCCAACAGGCAGCATAATTGTTTAGGGAAAAAGCAAAGTATCTACTGATCTCTGAAAAAAATTTTACTTATGATAAGAATGTGCGAAACCAGGCAGTAACAAAAGATAACTTTTCTCTACCTTCATTCAGTTTTTCACTATCAGACATAGATTTTCTTCATTTGTCAGAAAATGTTCTTTGTGTGTTAAAAGCCCTTAACACCATTATATGGTAACTTGATAGATTTGGGGCATCCCCGCTGAGGTAATTTTAACTGAGCTCCTCAATCCTCCATGATTCATGGACACCAAGCTTGTAAATACATTCTAATAGTAAGACAGGCTTTGCAGGCATAACCTTTATAATGCTGTACTGTGAATGATCAGGGCTATTTTAGGATTTGATGAGTATGCCTATAAAGGCTTCTAAAGACTCAAGCAAAGTTCAGTTCCAAAAGGGAAGACAATTTTTGCTATTAGTACAATGAAAAGGCTGTAAGATACTGATATTTAGACATTGCAAGAAAGAGGAGTTCAGGTTCTAGGCATTATGTGATTTGAGGAAGGAAAGGTGTCCGCTCCGATGAGATGGCAATAGAAAGATTTTGCTCACTGTTAAAAAGGTCTTACAAAGAAATATCTCATTGTTTAAGCTTAAGTCAGAAAACAAGTGATGGACACAGGCAGTGGTAGAAGAAAATGACAAGAGTAAATATCACTTTCACCACAATCAACAGCAGATCATTAAAGACTCACTGAATATCCTATAGCTCATTTTAAGGCATTGCCATCTAAATATTCACTGAGTCTCTTTTGTTTTTTCCAGGTTAGGCAGAGAGGCCTCTGATCACTTTTTATATACTCAATTTAAACTTTATCTTTAAAGTGCTTTTTATTACTCAAGAATTTGACTTTAGGAAAACTCCTTAGCCAATCTCATTCTAGATGAAAAGATCCATACTGATATGTACCCTAATGAGCTTTTCCAAAGCCCAATTAAAAAGAAAAAAAAAAAGTGCATCAACAGATTAAGTTGAAATAATAAAAGTTGCACAGAAAAGTCCTAATCTGACAAAGGGATGTGTTTGAGTTGGTACTCACGCTAGTCTGCCTGACTTGCACTCTCATTGTTATTGCCTCCATAAGCAATCTAGTAGCACTTGTACACACATGAGTTTCAAAGAATCTGCTTCTTTCCTGGCTGGATTCTTTAGGCAAATCAACTTAAGTAATAAGGGCACTGAGTAGTTTTCTTCTTTAAGCTACTGACCTGGTAACCTTGGAAGAAGTTAAGAATTTCCTTAACTCCAGTATTGTAGGCCAGGCCCTGCATTCTGACCACCGTGCCAGGCTGTGGAGGGACACCGCTAAGATTAGCAGCTGTAGGGAAGTAGCCAAGACTATTGGGCGAACCTGGGGGGCTAAAGGGAGAGAAAGCACAGTGAACCAATAGGAATAGACAATGTTGAATATTTATTCTCAAAACATTAGTTACTTAAGGAAACACCCTCTCAAGGTACTCTCAGAATTCTCAGAGTTCTTGCTCCCACATTTCCACAAAGGCAAAAGTTGAAAGACAGAAAGGTTAATGCAGGGTTAAATGCAGGGATTCCCCAAAGATCCAGTTCTCTCTCCTTAAAGGGAGAGGAAAGAGAGAATTAAGCCTTCATAGTTGCTCAATCACAAAGCACCACTTCCAAAGCCCAGCTCATTGATGATTAACTGGCTAGTTATCAGGAATACTAAGGCATGAAAAGGCACGAATAAAAAGGACTAACAGGAACCATAGCCACAGAAGACCAAAAGTCTTCAAAGTGATTGCTCCAAGGAACAGACTATTCTACCCATATACACAAGAAAAGGTACAGCACAATAATACAATAAAGTACTCTAGCACAGATGAGTTATTTCTTCCAACCAGACTGAAAAGAAAGTGGTGAGGAGGGGGAAATTAGAAGGGATGTACAACAAATTAAACCAATCACCATTAACACAAGGGAAAACTGATGCATGGGTCCCTCTTAATGTATCTACATCAATTACTTCCAAGGAGCAGAATCCAAGTGAATACTTAATTATTCTTTATGTGGCAGCTCAAGATTCCCATATTATGAAATTAGTTCCACCCTGACCCCCACCCAAATCTGTTTTCCGCCACAATTAGTGGCTAGAAACCCATAATTGAAAATATGTATAGGGAAAAATTTTAAACAAGGTATTAGCTTATAGAGCAATAAAGACCTACGGTTTTAGATTATTAACCCTTTTAAATATTTCTAAGTAGGCAATTATCCCATTTTAAAGACAAGTAAACACAAAATGGAATAGACTACAAATCTTTGAGACTCTATCCTACATAAATAATCCTAACTGATGGTTAACAGAAAGGGTACCAGATGTGAATCTAGTTTCAGATTCTATTTTTTTATTAGCAAGGTAACCATGAGCAAGTCACTTAATTTCTTCCAACTTCAATTACATCACTTACTAAATTGGGGGAGGAGGGTTGTGTTGCACCTCCCACAGAATTTTCTTCAGAGTCAATGATTTAACATACCAAATTAGTTCATAAAGCATAAAACACAATAATTTAAGTTATTTCACTTTTGTTATTTCCATAACCATCATTCTATTTCATCATTTTTAAAATATGAGAGACTGAAAATATCACCTGACAGCAAGCCTGCCCTTAATCTTTTCAGTTTCTAAAGCAGTGATCCTCAACTTGTTTGCAGATTAGAGTCACTTGGAGAGACTTTTACAACTCCCTCTGAGAAGAGCCTGTTTAGAGACTAAAAGTCAATCTATGTGCAACTGTGAGATCAGAGAGGGAATGCTGTTTAGGCCTGACTAGGACTTAAGGCATCATTCAGCCACACCTCATTTTTACAGAGGTGGAAACAGAAACTAAGAGTTATAATGTCCCAAAGGTCACAGGACGGGTTAGTTTTTCACCAAACCAGAAGAACCAGCCAGATCTCTCAACCTCTAGTTCAGTGCTTTTTCCCATACAACCACCATTCATTCAAACACCATATTTGCTCCTGTCAAGTGTCTGATAAATACTAACTCTAATACTTAAAGACCACAAAGACTTCCTGTATTTATTTCATCACAAGTTACTCAGACCTTCCACACTGCACATGAGAGTCAGATCATTTCCAAGATATCTATCTTAATCCATGGCACTTGTCCCAGCACATTCTGTTCCTTTGGCTAAAGATCTCCTATAAATTAAGCGGGCATCTAGTGCCTTCAAACTACAACCAAGATAAAATAGAAAGAGAAGTTATCCAACTGGAAATTTAAGATTATAAAATGTCAATTATGTTTATTACATATAAAGTACACCTGTTCTGATGAAGCCTAAACACAACTTGGCTTCACATCCTTATTTTTTTTACACTAGGATTATCTGCTATATACAAGGCATCTTAAAGTAACTTAAATAATCTGTGTATCTACCTGACAGGGCATGAGAATAAGAATTTTCTATCAACCTAAATTCCAAAGTCTTTCAGATTATTGAAATAATAATAAGCAAAAATAATTTATGAAATAAAAATCACAGGATAGAAACAAGGTAAACTTGTACACAGAAAACCAAAAAGAATCTAAAACTAATAGAACTAACGAGATCACCAAGGTTAAAAAAATACAAGATCAATACACAAAATAAATCAATTGAACTTTTATACATGACAATGAACAATCCAAAAATGAAACTGAGAAAGAAATTCCATTCATAATAGCATAAAAAAGAATACTTAAGAAAAAATTTGGCAAAGGAAGAGCAAGACTTATACACTGAAAATCACAAAACATTGTTAAAAAAATAAAAGATCATTTAAATAAATGGAAAGACAGTCCATGTTTATAAACATGACATAATATTGTTAAAATGACTATACTCTCTAAATTATATAGATCCAATGCAATAGCTATCAAAATTCCAAATGGCTTTTTTTTTCAGAATCAATGAAACAACCTAACACATATATGGAAATGCAAAAGGCTCAGGACAGTCAAACTCTCTTGAAAAAGAACAAAGTAGGAAAAACTTAACATTGCCTAACTTCAAAACTTAAAACAAAACAACAGTAATCAAGATGGTGTGGTACTCTCTTAAGGATAGGCAATGATCATGAGAATTGAATTGAGAGGTCAGGAATAAACGCTTACATTTATGGACAACTGATTTTTGACAAGAATTCCAAAATCAATTTGATGAGAAAAGAACAGGCTCTTCAATAAATGGTGCTGAACAATGGACAATCTACATACAAAAGGATGAATTTAGATCTCTATCTCGCCCTATATAAAAATTAATTCAAAAAATAATATACCTAAATATAAGAACTAAAACTACAAGGCTCTTAGATTTTGTAGTAGTAAATCTTCATGACCTTGGGTTACATGTAACAAAAGTATACATGAGAAAAGAATTAAAAAATTGGCCTTCGTCAAAATTTTCGACTTCTGTGCTTTAAAGGACACCATCAGGATAACCACGGACTGGGGGATAATATTTGTAAATCATCTTATAAGGTCTCTTACCTAGAATATATAAAGAAATGTTACAACTAAAAAACAACCCAATTTTAAAATGTGCAAAGGATCTGAATAAACATTTCTCCAAAGAAAATATGAAGACGCTCAAAATCAGTCATTAAGGAGATGCAAACCAAAACTATGAAACAGCAAATCCACTCATCAAAATAGTTAAAGTAAAAGACAGTTAAGAGTTGAAAAGGATGCAGAGAAATTAGAACTTTCATGGATTGCTAGTGGGAATGTAAAAGGGTGAAGCTTCTTTGGAAAAAGTTTGGATGTTTCTCAAAAGTTAAACATGGAGTTACCACATGACCCAGCATTTCCACTCCTAGGTACATATCTTACCCAAGAAAACTAGAAATCTATGTCCACGCAAAAACCTGAATGCAGATGTACACAGTAGCATTATTATTAATAGCCCGAAAGTATAAACAACTCCAAATGTCTGATAACTGATTAATAAACTATATGTGGCATATCCCTATGATAGAATATTAGACATAAAAAAAATGAAGTACTGATCCATGCTATAACGTGAACTTCAAAAACATACTAAATAAAAGCCAGTCACAAAAGACCACATATGGTATGATTCCATTTATATTAAATATTCAGAACAGGTAAATACACGGAAACAGAAAATACACTTGCAGTTGTTAAGGAATGGATGGAGGAGACCTTGTAGGGGGTAGAAGGTGGGTGAACGGGAGTTCTCCACTCACCCTCTACCCCCTCCCCCAACAAAAACAGAGAGGGATTTGATACAGGGAATTGAATACAAATGTATAGAAAAGCCAGAACAAAGGGGAGTAAAAATCATGTTGCCCACAGGTGAACACTACCTCATCAGTGGAGAATTAAAGCGGGAAGGTGGTTATCAAGAGCCTAGGAGTCTGCATTCATGTTGATACTGTTACCATAAGCAGAAAATAGCTCTCACATTTTTCCTACCTGTTAATCCCAGGTGACTGCCTCCCATTGGCAGAAACTAATACTAGCTGGCAAGGAACTCTGGGAAAGGTAGTGTTCAGGCTCCCAGCTGTAGTCATATAGAATATATAAATACAGGTGTGGGGGCTGAGATTCAACAGACAATAAATACCTAGGATAGATGAATTATTTGATAATGCTTTAAAAAGCAACCAGTTAGTAACTGAGCCAAACCAAACATTTTCACTTCATGCTGTACAGCAAAACAAATTCCAAATGATATAAAGGGTTAAACATGTAATGTAGATAAGAACTCAAAGACAGAAAAGGAAAACAACAAAAAAGAACATAATGAGAAAAAATTCCATTTAAGGATAACTGAGAACTTTGTAGACACTGAAGCGATAAAGGAGTCACACACACACAAAAAATTCATATGTTGGAATAAAAATAATTTTTAATTGTCAGAGAAGTGCTACATAAAGTTAGGAACCAAAAAACCTGGAAGGTATTTTCACAACATATATTAAAATGAACTTAAAACTTAATAGATTACTAAGTAAAGGTGAAGCTGTACATACCCAGTCGGGAAATATGTGCACAAAATGGAATACTATTCCACTGGGGAAAGAAATGAATTTTAGTATACACTTTAACATAGATGAGTATCAATTTGGGGTGAAATAAACCACAGAAGAATATTTACAACATTATTCCATTTATATAAAATTAAAAACCAGATAAAACAAACTTTGATTTTAGAGATGCATAAATGAATGGTAAAACTATAAGGGAAATCAAATAAATAATTACCAAAAATGTCAGAATTATGGTTACCTCAAAAGGAAGGAGGAAATACACTTAGGAGGCACATCCAGTGTATTTTTAGTGTATTTACAGAGTTGTACTACTAATTGTAGTATAATTTTATAATCTA